GTTACTGGTTGTAGTGCTGCTGTAGTAATGTAAGCCTCTACAATGGTTACTGGTTGTAGTGCTGCTGTAGTAATGTAAGCCTCTACAATGGTTACTGGTTGTAGTGCTGCTGTAGTAATGTAAGCCTCTACAATGGTTACTGGTTGTAGTGCTGCTGTAGTAATGTAAGCCTCTACAATGGTTACTGGTTGTAGTGCTGCTGTAGTAATGTAAGCCTCTACAATGGTTACTGGTTGTAGTGCTGCTGTAGTAATCTACGGCTCTACAATGGTTACTGGTTGTAGTGCTGCTGTAGTAATGTAAGCCTCTACAATGGTTACTGGTTGTAGTGCTGCTGTAGTAATCTACGGCTCTACAATGGTTACTGGTTGTAGTGCTGCTGTAGTAATGTAAGCCTCTACAATGGTTACTGGTTGTAGTGCTGCTGTAGTAATCTACGGCTCTACAATGGTTACTGTTTGTAGTGCTGCTGTAGTAATGTAAGCCTCTACAATGGTTACTGGTTGTAGTGCTGCTGTAGTAATGTAAGCCTCTACAATGGTTACTGGTTGTAGTGCTGCTGTAGTAATCTACGGCTCTACAATGGTTACTGGTTGTAGTGCTGCTGTAGTAATGTAAGCCTCTACAATGGTTACTGGTTGTAGTGCTGCTGTAGTAATCTACGGCTCTACAATGGTTACTGGTTGTAGTGCTGCTGTAGTAATGTAAGCCTCTACAATGGTTACTGGTTGTAGTGCTGCTGTAGTAATCTACGGCTCTACAATGGTTACTGGTTGTAGTGCTGCTGTAGTAATGTAAGCCTCTACAAGGGTTACTGGTTGTAGTGCTGCTGTAGTAATGTAAGCCTCTACAATGGTTACTGGTTGTAGTGCTGCTGTAGTAATCTACGGCTCTACAATGGTTACTGGTTGTAGTGCTGCTGTAGTAATCTACGGCTCTACAATGGTTACTGGTTGTAGTGCTGCTGTAGTAATCTACGGCTCTACAATGGTTACTGGTTGTAGTGCTGCTGTAGTAATGTAAGCCTCTACAATGGTTACTGGTTGTAGTGCTGCTGTAGTAATCTACGGCTCTACAATGGTTACTGGTTGTAGTGCTGCTGTAGTAATCTACGGCTCTACAATGGTTACTGGTTGTAGTGCTGCTGTAGTAATCTACGGCTCTACAATGGTTACTGGTTGTAGTGCTGCTGTAGTAATGTAAGCCTCTACAATGGTTACTGGTTGTAGTGCTGCTGTAGTAATCTACGGCTCTACAATGGTTACTGGTTGTAGTGCTGCTGTAGTAATGTAAGCCTCTACAATGGTTACTGGTTGTAGTGCTGGTGTAGTAATGTAAGCCTCTACAATGGTTACTGGTTGTAGTGCTGGTGTAGTAATGTAAGCCTCTACAATGGTTACTGGTTGTAGTGCTGCTGTAGTAATGTAAGTCTCTACAATGGTTACTGGTTGTAGTGCTGCTGTAGTAATGTAAGCCTCTACAATGGTTACTGGTTGTAGTGCTGCTGTAGTAATGTAAGCCTCTACAATGGTTACTGGTTGTAGTGCTGCTGTAGTAATGTAAGCCTCTACAATGGTTACTGGTTGTAGTGCTGGTGTAGTAATGTAAGCCTCTACAATGGTTACTGGTTGTAGTGCTGCTGTAGTAATGTAAGTCTCTACAATGGTTACTGGTTGTAGTGCTGCTGTAGTAATGTAAGCCTCTACAATGGTTACTGGTTGTAGTGCTGCTGTAGTAATGTAAGCCTCTACAATGGTTACTGGTTGTAGTGCTGCTGTAGTAATCAATATTCTACAAGTTCCTCAAGCATTTTGAACGAGGAAAACGACGCGAAAAACCTTGAAATCAACACATTATCTTCAAGAGTTCTGATCCAAGGATTTGGAGCGCCCTTTCTTCAGATCAAACATGATTACCTTCCATTCCCCAGGCGCTGTATGACTCCTAAGAATTTAGTGCTTCCTTTTGTATATACAATGATAGAGAAACAAACAATGCAGACACATTACATAGCACTGCATAACTATTGCAATTCAAGCGCTTATTGTTAATAATATTAATATTACATTCATGACGTCCCAGAGGGGTCACACAACCATTACAATCTGTGACCCAGAGGGGTCACACAACCATTACAATCTGTGACCCAGAGGGGTCACACAACCATTACAATCTGTGACCCAGAGGGGTCACACAACCATTACAATCTGTGACCCAGAGGGGTCACACAACCATTACAATCTGTGACCCAGAGGGGCCCGCCATCACAACCATTACCAATCTGTGACCCAGAGGGGCCACAACTCCATACAATCTGGAGCCCAAGGGCCACACACCATTACAATCTGTGACCCAGAGGGGTCACACAACATTACAATCTGTGGACCCAAAGGGGTCACACAACCATTACAATCTGTGACCCAGAGGGGCCACACAACCATTACAATCTGTGACCCAGAGGGGCCACACAACCATTACAATCTGTGACCCAGAGGGGTCACACAACCATTACAATCTGTGACCGAAAGGGGCCACACAACCATTACAATCTGCGACCCAGAGGGGCCACACAACCATTACAATCTGTGACCCAGAGGGGCCACACAACCATTACAATCTGCGACCCAGAGGGGCCACACAACCATTACAATCTGTGACCCAGAGGGGCCACACAGCCATTACAATCTGTGACCCAGAGGGGCCACACAGCCATTGCAATCTGCGACCCAGAGGGGCCACACAACCATCACAATCTGCGACCCAGAGGGGCCACACAGCCATCACAATCTGCGACCCATAGGGGCCACACAGCCATCACAATGTACGACCCAGAGGGGCCACACTGCCATCACAATCTGAGGCCCAAAGGCGCCACACAGCCATCGCAATCTGCGACCCAGAGGGGCCACACAGCCATCACAATCTGCGACCCAGAGGGGCCACACAGCCATCACAATCTGTGACCCAGAGGGGCCACACAGATCCATTCAACAATCTGCGACCCAGAGGGGCCACACAGCCATCACAATCTGTGACCCAGAGGGGCCACACAGCCATCACAATCTGTGACCCAGAGGGGCCACACAGCCATTACAATCTGCGACCCAGAGGGGCCACACAGCCATCACAATCTGCGACCCAGAGGGGCCACACAACCATTACAATCTGCGACCCAGAGGGGCCACACAGCCATTACAATCTGCGACCCAGAGGGGTCACACAGCCATTACAATCTGCGACCCAGAGGGGCCACACAGCCATTACAATCTGCGACCCAGAGGGGCCACACAGCCATTACAATCTGCGACCCAGAGAGGCCACACAGCCATTACAATCTGCGACCCAGAGGGGCCACACAGCCATCACAATCTGCGACCCAAAGGGGCCACACAGCCATTACAATCTGCGACCCAGAGGGGCCACACAGCCGTCACAATCTGCAGCCCCAGAGGGGCCACACAGCCATTACAACCTGCGACCCAGAGGGGCCACACAGCCATTACAATCTGCGACCCAGAGGGGCCACACAGCCATTACAATCTGCGACCCAGAGGGGCCACACAGCCATTACAATTTGCCACCCAGCCATCACAATCTGCGACCCAGAGGGGCCACCCAGCCATCACAATCTGCGACCCAGAGGGGCCACACAGCCATCACAATCTGCGTCCCAGAGAGGCCACACAGCCACCACAATCTGCGACCCAGAGAGGCCACACTGCCATCACAATCTGCGGTCCAAAGGGGCCACACAGCGATCACAATCTGCGACCCAGAGGGGCCACACAGCCATCACAATCTGCGACCCAGAGGGGCCACACAGCCATCACAATCTACGACCCATAGGGGCCACACAGCCATCACTATCTACGACCCAGAGGGGCCACACTGCCATCACAATCTGCTGCCCAAAGGCGCCACACAGCCATCGCAATCTGTGACCCAGAGGGGGGCCACACAGCCATCACAATCTGTGACCCAGAGGGGCCACACAGCCATCACAATCTGCGACCCAGAGGGGCCACACAGCCATCACAATCTGCGACCCAGAGGGGGGCCACACAGCCATCACAATCTGTGACCCAGAGGGGGCCACACAGCCATCACAATCTGCGACCCAGAGAGGGGCCACACAGCCATCACAATCTGTGACCCAGAGGGGACACACAGCCATCACAATCTGCGACCCAGAGGGGGCCACACAGCCATCACAATCTGCGACACAGAGAGGGGCCACACAGCCATCACAATCTGTGACCCAGAGGGGCCACACAGCCATCACAATCTGTGACCCAGAGGGCCACACAGCCATCACAATCTGTGACCCAGAGGGCCACATAGCCATCACAATCTGTGACCCAGAGAGGGCCACACAGCCATCACAATCTGACCCAGAGGGGCCACACAGCCATCACAATCTGTGACCCAGAAAGGGCCACACAGCCATCACAATCTGTGACCCAGAGGGGCCACACAGCCATCACAATCTGTGACCCAGATGGGGCCACACAGCCATCACAATCTGCGACCCAGAGGGGACACACAGCCATCACAATCTGCGACCCAGAGGGGGACCACACGGCCATCGCAATCTGTGACCCAGAGGGCCACACAGACATCACAATCTGCGACCCAGAGAGGGGCCACACAGCCATCACAATCTGCGACCCAGAGAGGGGCCACACAGCCATCACAATCTGTGACCCAGAGAGGGGCCACACAGCCATCACAATCTGTGACCCAGAGAGGGGCCACACAGCCATCACAATCTGTGACCCAGAGAGGGGCCACACAGCCATTACAATCTGCGACCCAGAGGGGCCACACAGCCGTCACAATCTGCAGCCCCAGAGGGGCCACACAGCCATCACAATCTGTGACCCAGAGGGGCCACACAGCCATCACAATCTGATGATCCAACACCAGCAAAAGGAAGGTGCGCAGTATCTTGAAAAGCAAATGACAACAAGAGTAATGAAGGTTGTAGGAATGCAGCTTACCCTGCTCTGGTGTGGTTCTCTGGTCTTGTTCTTGGGTTTAGGACCCCGCCTCGCCCCTCCACTCTCACGCTGGCTGCAAACAAATAAACGCATCATTTAGTCAACTAAAAGACGATAATTTAGTACAAACAAAGCAACTGGTACTTTACTGCCCTCAGCAAGTGTTGCGTGGCTTGCGTATACAAACATGCCATACGCGAGGCACGCCAAAGTATCATCAATCACTTATTGTGTCCTAAAGAAGGCCATCATAAAAAAAATATATAAAAAGCTACTAAATTAAAAATTTTTTACCTGAACTTAAGTGAAACTACTTTTTCATCAACTAAAAAAAAACATCAAGATCCTTAATACAAGGAAACAAAAAAAAAAAAAAATGAAAACTACACTTCAATCAGTATGGTGTAAAAGATAAACTTGCTTAATAAAGGTTCACAAGAAACACTAAGGAAGCTTGCACACTTGAAAATAAACCACAACTGAACAAGAAGGCCAGAAAACAGGCCGGAAAGTGATGAAAATAACAGCAAATAGGTTTGGAGATAATAGTACTAAGCAGCAGCAGTGATACAGTTATAGAAATAGTAGCTAGTAGTAGTAAAAATGGTGATATTATAGAAATAGTGGTGACATTAGTAGTAAACTAACACACACACACACACACACACACACACACACACACACACACACACTATCACTAACCACAGTATTTATTATTAAAAAACTTGAAATTCATCAATAAAACTCAACAAAAACTAATAAGAGCCATGACACTACTATTGCAATAACTCAGCATCAATGTAGCTGGAATAAAACAATGTGTAATAACGACCTGCGTGTAGTAATAAGTTCATGTCTCAACTGCAAGTCGCAAGAGATGCATTCGCATCACAGAGTCTGACAGCGTTCATCCAGCTGCATTACAAACATACAATTATCGCAAAGTTCAACTTTCAACAACTGCATTACAACTAAGTAGCCTCTGACAATGTTCATAAACTCGCCAACCTGTGACGGCATTCATCGTTCTACTGCATTACAACCACTGAACTTAAATCAGCGTTCATTCCTCAAGAACTATACAACCTTTTAAACTTAAAAAACAGCGGTCGTCATTCAACAACTAAATTAGCCACTCAACCTGAGAACGGCGTTCAGAGTTCAATAATGTCAGTGTTAGAGTGTCGCTGTCAGCTTAAGAGGTGAGGGAAAAAAAAAACAAGATCAAGAGGTCATTAATTATAAGGTTTCGCCAACAACAGTTTATATCACTGACAAAAGTAGCAGGAATATTGCTGCACATTAACACCCTTTTTAAGGCTGGCGAAACTGCAGACCTAGTGAATGTAGAGAACCTTCACTGTACGCATAAATTATGCTGAAAATGGTATAAAATACGGATAAGTTGATGATTAAGACATATGTACAACAGTTGGGTATCTTTATTGTTGAAATGTTTCGCCTACACAGTAGACTTCTTCAGTCAAGTCCATTTGCAGTGAGAAGAGATGGATTCCAGACGGACCTGACTGAAGAAGCCTACTGTGTAGGCGAAACGTTTCAACAATAAAGATAACTAACTGTTGTACATGTGTCTTAATCATGAACGCATAAATTAAGGCACCTAAATTACTGGGGACGCTTGAAACCTCTGGATTTGTACTCCCTGGAATGCCAGCAACGTACAATGTAATTTGCACCTGGAAAATCCTAAGAGGGGTTGGTCCCAAATCTGCGCACACAAACTATTCCCTACGACGATACAATATACCCTTAATGAAACGTAGGTTGCCTGAGAGATAACACTAAGTGCAAGATGTCCAAGATTACTCAATAGCCTCCCATCATATATAAGGGGAATTACTAACAGACCCTTGGCTATGTTCAAGAGGGAACTAGACAAGTTCCTTATCTTAGTTCCTGATCAGCCGGGCTGTGATCCGTATGTTGGACTTCGTACGGTTGACACCAAAAGCCTGGTCGACCAGGCTAAGTAGACTCCAGGTAAAACACCAGTGTTTGTCATCAATGATCTAGTAATAATGAAAGCCATGAACTTCCTGTTCTAAATGAGTTGGCGTCTCAGCACTCTCTGAAAACTTATGACATGTGATATTTCTACTACTGCTGTGCATTTTTATCCATAAAATTCATATTTCTACTACTGCTGTGCATTTTTATCCATAAACTTCCTGCCTTCTAAGTGATGAGCTACGTCTGCACTTTTAATGGGCTCTGGAATTTCACATGATTTTAAGTTCCTCCAAATAATGAGAGCCCGTGCTAATACTACTTTGCATTTCTTTACAAGTACTGGTAGCTTCAGCACACAGGTATCCACCATGCGGGTAGCATCACCAAGCAGGAAGCGTCAGCACACAGGTAGCGTCACCACAGGTGATCTCTGTGGTTGGCAGTTTAACCTGGGCGCCACAAAGCCAGTGTGTTCCCCAAGGGTGAACAATTAAGCCGCACTCTAACACCAACCATCTATATTTATTTCCAAACGCATGGACGGACAGGCACAAGTAGACGCTCAAGTACGCACGCATATACGTGCGTGCATTACAGCCCAGAAACTTTCAAGTGGAATACGTCCATTACATTACATAGTGCGAGCACATTTACTAGATGAGAGTGGGTTTAGTACAGTTAAGTTAGGTAAGGCTTACCATCCTCAGGAGGATGGTAAGCCTTACCTAACTGTTTACCATCAGGAGGATCAAGCCTCCGCTACTTCTTGCCTTGAATGACCCACACGGGTTTATCGCTTCGCAAAGTAAACAAACTAAGTGTGTTGCTCACACGCCATCTAGAGGAATTCTGCAGTGTCTAACCTGCCCTCCCCCAACAATATAGTCTCACCTACACTTCCCCACCAACAACATAGTGTCTCACCTACACTTCCCCACCAACAACATAGTGTCTCACCTACACTTCCCCACCAACAACATAGTGTCTCACCTACACTTCCCCACCAACAACATAGTGTCTCACCTACACTTCCCCACCAACAACATAGTGTCTCACCTACACTTCCCCACCAACAACATAGTGTCTCACCTACACTTCCCCACCAACAACATACAGCGTTTCACCTACACTTCCCCACCAACAACAGTGTCTCACCTACACTTCCCCACCAACAACATACAGTGTCTCACCTACACTTCCCCACCAACAACATACAGTGTCTCACCTACACTTTCCCACCAACAACAGTGTCTCACCTACACTTCCCCACCAACAACATACAGTGTCTCACCGACACTTCCCCACCAACAATATACAGTGTCTCACCTACACTTTCCCACCAACAACAGTGTCTCACCTACACTTCCCCACACAACACATACAGCGTTTTCACCTACACTTCCCCACCAACAACAGTGTCTCACCTACACTTCCCCACCAACAACATACAGCGTTTCACCTACACTTCCCCACCAACAACAGTGTCTCACCTACACTTCCCCACCAACAACATACAGTGTCTCACCTACACTTCCCCAACAACATACAGTGTCTCACCTACACTTCCCCACCAACAACATACAGTGTCTCACCTACACTTTCCCACCAACAACAGTGTCTCACCTACACTTCCCCACCAACAACATACAGTGTCTCACCGACACTTCCCCACAACAATATACAGTGTCTCACTCTACACTTTCCCACCAACAAATGTCTCACCTACACTTCCCCACCAACAACATACAGTGTCTCACCTACACTTTCCCACCAACAACAGTCTCACCTACACTTCCCCACCAACAACATACAGTGACTCACCTACACTTCCCCACCAACAACATACAGTGTCTCACCTACACTTCCCCAACAACATACAGTGTCTCACCTACACTTCCCCACCAACAACATACAGTGTCTCACCTACACTTTCCCACCAACAACAGTGTCTCACCTACACTTCCCCACCAACAACATACAGTGTCTCACCGACACTTCCCCACCAACAATATACAGTGTCTCACCTACACTTTCCCACCAACAACAGTGTCTCACCTACACTTCCCCACCAACAACATACAGTGTCTCACCGACACTTCCCCACCAACAACAGTGTCTCACCTACACTTTCCCACCAACAACATACAGTGTCTCACCGACACTTCCCCACCAACAACATACAGTGTCTCACCTACACTTCCCCACCAACATACAGTGTCTCACCTACACTTCCCCACCAACAACTACAGTGTCTCACCTACACTTTCCCACCAACAACAGTGTCTCACCTACACTTCCCACCAACAAATACAGTGTCTCACCGACACTTCCCCACCAACAAATACAGTGTCTCACCTGACACTTCCCACCAACAACAGTGTCTCACCTACACTTCCCACCAACAACATACAGTGTCTCACCGACACTTCCCCACCAACAATATACAGTGTCTCACCTACATCTTCCCACAACAACAGTGTCTCACCTACACTTCCCCACCAACAACATACAGTGTCTCACCTACACTTCCCTACCAACAACATACAGTGTCTCACCTACACTTCCCACCATACTCAGACTATACAGTGTCTCACTACACTTCCCACAAAACAGTGTCTCACCGACACTTCCCACACCAACTAAAGTGTCTCACCTACACTTCACCAACAACATACGTGTCTCACGACACTTCCCCACACACAACAGTGTCTCACTACACTTTCCCACAACAACATACAGTGTCTCACCGACACTTCCCCAGCCAACATACATGTCTCACCATCACTTCCCACCACAAAACAGTGTCTCACCTACACTTCCCCACCAACATACAGTGTCTCACCGACACTATCCCCACCAACAACATACAGTGTCTCACCGACACTTCCCCACCAACAACATACAGTGTCTCACCGACACTTCCCCACCAACAACAGTGTCTCACCGACACTTCCCCACCAACAACATACAGTGTCTCACCGACACTTCCCCACCAACAACATACAGTGTCTCACCGACACTTCCCCACCAACAACATACAATGTCTCACCTACACTTCCCCACCAACAACATACAGTGTCTCACCTACACTTCCCCACC